AGTCGAAATCTCAAAATAAATATCGAAAATCAGTGGAAAGTTATGATCTAGAAAGTCAAGGAAATATACCTGAGTATATAATAGAGTATCCCAATTTTGTTTGTCAGTAACATTACACTTGGTAAGGTCTTTTCTAACATGAGAAACAAGTGGATTTCCCCTCCAATAAGCAAAGGGTATCCTATCTTTCCATTTACTTCTCTTATTCCCTTCTTTTATATTCTTTAACATACTTCTCCATGGCCTTATATTTGTCTCTCCCCTATAAACAATCAAAATTATCAAAATCACAATCATATATCACCTCGAGATCACTATTTTTTTAAAAATGTATACAGAGTAAATCTCTTTTCAATATAACAAATTGTAAGGTGTGAATCATATTAAAGATATCAAGTGCACTAGGCAAATCTTGTGCAATACATGATTAGATATTATTAAGAATGAAAATAGACTTTTGACTCTATAAATTATTGTAACAAATATGACTTATTTATATTTTTAAATAATAAATAAGTTTACATAGTTGTAAAAATTAGAATAAAATACTAAAAAAATCCTGATAAGGACTTTCATGACAAACAAAAACAAAACAAATAAATAGATTAGAACCCATAAAGGATTTATAATCTTTTAATTTATTTTTTTTAAAAAAACATAGATGTATATAAAGAAGATCCCAAATTAATTTTAAGAAGGTTTATTTTCTTGACCTTTGACATATAAATAAGTAAATTCTATCTCAATAAAATATAATAAAATACAATTTAATTATTATCAAAATCGAAAGCTGACTCAGACATTATCATCATAAAAATAATATATATTTAAGGCCTGTGAAATGATTGATAATTACCAGCCCCAAAATGACCAATCTGGGAAAACAATATCCAAGCTCTGCCAATCTGAACAGTACCGGAACAATGGCGGTGGACCGGAATCAGGTCGCCGGAATTTCCTCTCCGGGATAACCGGCCGGTCATCGGTGTCAAACATGATCTCCAAATTAGGCAATTTTCCGGGATGAGTTGTACAATACCATACATCGTGAACAAATGTCTAGTTTCTATCGAGTATTTCACGTAACGTTCGATATAAATCTTTCCGTCCAAAATTATTAACCTAAAATGTGCATATTTTTTCGATTTTTCGAGCATTTCTCGAGTAATTCCGGTGTTCTTCCAATGCCTTAAATCTTCATAAATCCATCTAAAATATTCAGGACATGTTGAGTTGTTAGGGTTTAAGGGTTTATAGGACTTTGGATAAGTTGATGGACATGTATTAGTTTTGTTCCATGCATTACAATCCAATGGATATTCAAGAATATGAGGTTTCATAGATTGATTTTCTACTTTTTTATAAGGCTCCATAAAAACGAGATTAGGGACCATGATCTCCGCTTTCTTTTTTAAATGTACGGAGTATTTTGCCTGCACAAATTTTTAATCAAAATAAGTAAATTTATCGAAGAAGAAAAAAATAGTTGATTTATCTAACATACATAAAAAAATTCCAAATTTTGATTGAAAAGTATCTCATATGAATATTTTATTATGTGTCCAGATGCTCAGTTAAAACTAACAATATTTTGATATCAAAATAAAATTTAGTGAAAAATTTAAGCTTTGGTAATACCTCCACATTCCATACTTTTAACATGGACAATAAGTTTTCCTCTTATGCTACTATTTAGTCCAATTTATTTATTTTTTGGTTCTACGTTTCCGACCAATGTTTTATAATTTTGAATTTTGGGTGAAATGATTATTTATCCTCCAATTCATTTTTATTTTACTTGTTAAATATGTTAAAATAGATTTTTAATGTTTTACTTGTGCAATTTTTTTTTAAAAAAAAGATTCAATCACTTTTCTTGACTTTATCTCTATCGTTAAATAACCATTAATTCTCAAACTTATTGGTTTGACTACTATAATTTGTAGTCAAATTTAGATTTTTAAAATCTAGTAAATAGAGGTAATTTTGGTAAAATAAATATTCAATTAATATATTTTTTTTAAAACAGCGCAAAATACATAGTGAACAAGTAAGAAAATTGCTAATATATAAGTTTTCATCTACTGTATGTTCTTGGGAAGTGACAAACAAAAACTAAATGAAGGGGGAGCATCAAAATTTCACCTAATAATAATTTTAACATTATAAAAATATAATAATTTTCTGCGGAAGGGTGTTTAGATGAATATCACTTGACTCTATCTAGTTCTATCCCTGCTTGATCAATTCGATTATTTTAGAGTTTAGACCATCTAGAAACTAATCGAAATTCAGTAAAAAAAATTTCTCTTTTTTTCGGTCTTCCCTTTTACTATTCTAATTAAATTAATTCAATATATGTCTTTTTGATTCATCGATTAACTTATCAGTAAATTTTAATTTGATATATATATATATATATATAAAATTATCTTACAAGCGATCTGATAATACAAAAAGAAAGAAAAAAAAGACTTACAAAATCAATCCATCCAAGAAAGGACAAGGATGAAACTGTGATGGTGAGAAATAAGAATAGCAACATTGTCACATAAGTTGTTGTTGTAACTCTCTTCAAATATTTCCATTTTGCTCCCACAATTGATATAATATTATTACTTTTATTCCAAAAAGAACTCAACAATTCCTTCTTCATCTCTTTTCTTACCTATAAATAAAAATAAAATGTAACTCACAAGTTAAAATGTAATTTATATAGAGAGAGGTGAAAGGGAAAAAAAAGTAAGAATACTCAATTCTAGTTATCAACTTGCATAACAATATTTGTGTAATTTTCAGAGATCTTCTAATTTTATAACACTAGTTTTTTTTTTTAATGATTTTGAATATTAGATTTATTTATGTGAATATATTGTAATCAAATTTGTTTAAATGATAATCATTCAAGTGGACTTTAAAAATGTCTTTTTGTGACATTGATTTGATTATTTTAATAAACTTAGTTTACTAGAGTAAATTTGTCTTGAAATTTAGCATTTAATAATTAATCATCAATTTTTACATTTCATTTGGTTGTAGTTATATATATATATATATATATATATATATATATATATATATA